ACCAAGTCCATCCGCCCTTAGAGATGAATGGTGAGACTATTCAAGAAGTTACTCATCATAAACATCTTGGTGTATTTTTCTCTTCTGATCTCAGATGGAATATTCATATAAACTATATAATTGAGAAAGCCTACAAGCGTATCAATATAATGCGAAAGTTGAAATTTATCCTTGATTGTCATTCACTGGAAAAAATTATATGTCTTTTCATTCGTCCTCTTTTAGAATACGGTGATATTAACTTTGATAACTGTACATCTCAAGAGAAGGAAACAATCGAAAAGGTTCAGTACGAGGCAGCTCGTATTGTAACGGTGCAACCAAACTTGTCTCAATTTCCAAACTTATGTCCGAGGTAGGGTGGGAATCCCTTGAATCTCGTCGTAACCAACACAAACTTGTTCTTTTTTATAAAATGACCAAAAATCTTGCCCCTCCTTATCTTTCTGAAATGCTTCAAGTTTCCACCAATGAACAATCATATAACTTACGAAATCAAAACTATTACATGGCTCCTAGAGCTCGTACCACGCTATATTATAATTCCTTCTTGCCATCCACAACTCGAGCCTTTAACAGTCTTCAAAGTGACGTTCGCAACTCTCCAACATTATCGTCATTTAAAAAGAGTATATCTCCTAACATTCAAAAGCCACCGAAATATTTTTACTATGGCAAAAGAAAACTCCAGATTTTCCACACACGTCTGAGGACCAACTGTAGCTCTTTGGCTGAAGACCTTTTTTTTAAGAATATCATACCTTCGCCTCTTTGCGTCTGTGGACAAAGGGAAACAACTCGTCATTTTTTTCTCGACTGTCCTCTTTATAAAAACATAAGACCTCAGTTGATAAACTGTATAAGCATATACTGTCATGTTGACTCTCCAATAATTTTCAACTATCATTAAGGGTTAAATCACAGGTCATTTTTTCTGTTGTTTTTTTCTCCTTCTTTTTCTATCTCATTCTTCTTTCTATCTGAACTTATCAAACTATTATCATTATTAGTCTTATTTTGCTTTTCTTTAAATAATTGATATATCTTATATTTATTTATTCATTTTCGATGCAAGTTGTAACACATCAGCCTTCTAAGTCAACAAACGACAATTTATTTCGCCTTATTTCGCACATATATTTATTGTACATTGGGAAAAGACTTCATAACCTCTGATCCCCTTTCAAAATTCCATTTTATTTACTTCCGCCCATTGTTTTCTCGTTTAGGGCACACGCTTTTTATTACTTGGGGACCATACGCCGCTTTTCATGGAATGGCACGGTAGTGTCACATTGAAGGTTCCATGATAACCGCCGTATGAACACATCTGCGGATGTTTCTAAATTCAAAATTTTACCATTTCATGTTAAAATGTTGAATTCTGCTTAAGCCGGTGCTAGGGGGCGTGGACGGTAAATTGCACTTTCCAGTACCGTCCATGAACAGGCTCAATCAAACCGAGCCTGCAACATTTTCAATTTTGTCGTGTTGGGCTTTCTTTAGGGATTCTGTATTTATCTATTCAATAAGCATTAGGTTGCTTCCAGTCTAATCATTTTCTTGTTTTGATTGTAAATATCATGTATGTAAATATGCTTATGTGAGAAAGAATAAAATATGTTTAAACCAAATATTATTAACAATCTGTTTCAGAATTGTCCGCGTTTTAAAATTAGAGATAAATAACGTTTTTCATCAAATTTTAATTCTGTGTTAGTGACATTATTTAATATAACTATTTCCTCAGTACAATCTAATGTCTGCAACTGTCTATTTTATATCATATTGCTTCAAATGCTAAAGGAGCTTTACACATTATGTTTAAACATACTTTGCGAGGGTATTTATCATTAATATCTTCAGCAACGATCAATGTAAACCTTATAAATGTCGACTAGCAAATCTCGGCTGCTCAACTCTTTACTTGGTATACTACAGTTAAATGTAATCAACTAACGAATTAAAATATTTAAGAAAACTAGTTATATGAGAAAACTCATAAGCTAATACTAATATCTGGAACAAAAAGGTGATCCCTTGGAAGCATTAAATACAGCATCATTAAATGAGAATTGCAGACTCGGTTTGATTGGGTCTGTACATGAGGGATAATAAAAAGTGCAACATCCCTCACACCCCCTAGCACCGAGCGGTTTTCAATTTTCAACACTTAAAAGTGCTGGACCAAATGATCCTGAAAAACCAGAAAAAATATAACAACACTGAAGTGAAGCAACTGTGTTGCTCCTGTGATAAGTCCTGCTGCCTTCTCAGTCGACGGAATGTAATATATACTTACCAGATCAACTGGAATATTGTTACATTTCGTAATGTTTATAAATACATCATCTTTATTTTTACCTCTCTCGGATTTTCATTCTAAGGTCGTTTTGTACAGTAAGATAATTATTTTGGAAGACAAATGAGTGAGCGAATGACTTGAAAATAATTTTACACACATATTACATGCGTAGCTTTTAGCATATTACCTGTAAAATTCAATTAATTTTTCAGTCTGTCTATATGCATCTGACAAAACATGAAATTGAAATGGAAACGAGTTGGAAAATTATGTCATGAACCGTTTGCTATTATTGGCGTTTCAAAAATTATTTATTTTTGTTTATTTGTTATTTATTTATTTAATTAAATGTTTGTTTTTGTTTAAATGTATTGCCGCTTTCGTTGTCGCTCAAAACAGAATATATAGAACAGATAAATCAACCAAATGCACTGTTTGATTGAATTGATTGAAGTTATTTATTGAGTGTATTAGAACTGGAATTTCGTGCAGTCGCCTACTATCCAAAGGTCATGTAAAATTATTATTGAATCATTAAATCATAAAGAAAACATTTACAATTGAAGTAAACAGTGTCGGAAATAGAGATGCAGGAATGCGTTTTGTAATGTAAAAGTTATTCAGTGCAAGTATTGATCAAATGACACTATATAGGATTCATAACGAAATACGTATTACATACAACAGTAGATATCTTTTTCTTTTCAATAAGTTTCATTAAAAAATGATACACATATTAAGTTTCATCTAACAGTGCAATTATTAAACCTCTTCCGATTGTAATTAAGGAAACATGAAATTATTGATGTATCTCTTCATTTAACCACTTTCAATCTTTTCTACGACATAACATCATCTTTAGATTTTAATGTGCTTCAAATTAAATAAATGTTAAAAACGGGAACAAACGTGTAAGTAACACTTACCCTATTTTTAATTAACTGATTATTAACCCATTACATCTGCATTTGATACTAGGACTGTACAGTGTACTTTTGAGGGAAAACTTAACACTTACATTTAGTTTACATAAAATTTGTAATATACGTGTATTTCGTTATTTTGTTCCATAATATCACAACCACAACAACAGTCCTATGGAAATTCTACTTTAATTCTTGAAGACTTCACAGGCTTCGTCATTTCATTTTAAATCATATTTTTCAGTGAAGCATCTTTTACATCATTTGCTTACTAAGAATAACAATATCTGTTTTGGATATAAATATGCATTAGATAAAAAGACAAATATTTTTAGGTACTACCATAGCGTTTTCATTATTTTAAATGGATGAAAAATGTTTTTAAGCTTCAGACAAAGTGTGTTCTAATACTACCCCCTACAGCTACCCCTCTCCAGTCCCTGCTTCAAACCCCAAAAGTATAAATAAAAGTCTATTTCCACATTTAATAAATATGACACAATTTTTAATATTCCTCTGTAGTATTAATTAGGAATGAAGTGCGCATTTGTACTATTATGTCCTTTTAAATATAATTAAGTGATTCTCCTGTCCGTGTCTACCTTGTGTCCTGTCCTGTTTTTGTTTGAGGTCCTCCTGGCCGCTGGTTCTAATTGCTGGGTCGTGTAGGGGCTGCGTTCATTGAACGCCACCTTTCCTTGTTTATCTTGTTAACCATAAATTTTGTAAACTGAATGTAGTAGCCTGCCTTATTATGACGACTTGACATTGGTAAATTCTAATCGAGAATAAGGTCAACGTTTCTTCATGCCATCAGTTACCGCTTTTGTGGCTAAGACGCTTAATTTATAACCCTAAGTATAAATTATAGACAAACACAAACATTTCGGCCATTTTGAACTAACATATATTAATCACAAATGAATGATGATGGCATTTAAACATTTGTCAATTGATGCACACAGTCAAACACTTGAAGGGTTTTTTTGTGGTGGATTTGGAAGTTTCCTTTGTCCTCGCAATTTTAAGATATTTTTTTTAAGTTTAATATTTCATTTATCGTAAATAAAGATAGCTGGTTGAATATGTTTACGGTGACGAAAATATATATCGATAATGCTATATTTACACATATAGCTTTGATAAAATGTCTTACTTATCAGAAATGCGAGAGCAAAATGTCGGCCATGTACGCTACGGCGAGTTATTTTCCCTATATATATTATATTTAGTAAATTGGTGCAGGATACATGATGATCAAGGGGAGATTATTTTATGACAATTTGACTATTATTGACAAGACAACTGTGCCGAACGCCTGTGGGTTATTTCAAATTGAAGTGTCCTCAAGCCGTCAGCGAGAATGATTAAATGATCTTTTATCTCCTTTTTTGTGGCAACATGGCCGAGTGATTAACGCGTCGGACTAGAAATCTAAATATCGCTCAATCGCCTACAGAGGGAAGCCGTTTTTTCCTTGAGCAAGAATCTTTATACCCATTGCTCAGTAGTGGGTCTATGAGCTTAAAGCTTCATACACATTCGAAATACAATAAATTCTGTATTAACTAATTCCCTTTGTGCATTAAATGTAAAGTGGACCGATTTAAATACCTTCAAAAACAAGTGAAGTGGAATTCATTATAACATTTCATGTTTATTCGGTCGACTTTTCTTTTGTGCAATTAGTGTGCATATGTAAGATGGGCCGACTTATATACCTTCATAATAAAATATAATATAAATCATCAACTCATAAAATGAAAAGACTGTTTGAGCAAAACCATTTATTAAGTTAAATCCAAATTAAAACAAGTGAAGTGGAATTCATTATAACAATTGTAGTATATCCGGTCCACTGTTGTATTCCGTCGTCATTTATTCACATCCAGGCATGCATCTTTCGTTGAGGCTATTCAGATAATCTCGCTTAAGCTATAAGAAACAGGAAAAGGAATATAATTATATATATGATATTTTCAAATCAATAATATCAAAATGCCATTCTTCATCGGTTGTATTCTTATCAGTTGTATGCAATTTAAATTCCCGTTGGCAGCTATTAAAAAGAGAAGTATAGACATCTAGGCTTGATTAAAAGAGTAAACTATACTATATAGAACTCACAAGCTCCTAAACATTACACATTAAATGTAGAAATCATTAATATCTTACAACATATGTAGGCTATAAGTGTTTTTTATGGTGAAAAGTTTACATATGGGTATTTGCATTCAAAAAATTAGGTATTTGTGCTGTAGATTGTAAAACGTTATATCATACCGCATCCGACGAACGCTGAACATACAGTCGGAGCTCCCATGCCATCACTTTGACAACCACTCCAGTCAGCAGCACCGTCACAGTTAAGCTTGATACCAAATTCAATACCCATATCTTGTAATAATGAATATGTATCTTCACCGGCACTCACACTCTTGAACGATTTTCTGGATAAAATAATAAATCACAGTAATCTGTAAGCTAATCTTACTGTTTTGAACAAATGTAATTAGTTACAAGTTTTGGCCATCAACATAAATATACAAGACATCAATTATAGCATCTCTCAATTCTTTAAAATCGTGATATACATAAAATTAAAATTGATGACATGCATGTAAAGAAGCTGAAATAGTTTAAGATTGAACGAGAATAAAATATATTGACATACCCTCCACAACCAATTTCAGCAGCTGCTGCACCTTTTCCTTCATCACAAACCACACCTGGGCTATTAAAGGCCTGTATCACGACAAAGCCAGATTTCACCTCCGTTGCCGTGACATCAGGGGCGACACCTGTAAGCATAAATTATAATCTGTATCAACAAATTTAAAATAAACTTACTTTGTTCTAATTATCAATTATGATAAGATGTTATTTTCGGAATACCTAGATTCTTTTCAAGAAAATATGATGAAATAATTTAACTTTGAATATCATCTAATCAATGATATGATATGCATACGTGATAGAATCAAGAGAAAAAAACCCTCAACAGATCACTTCAGAGCACTAAAGGACTTAATATCGTCTTTTTAGCGCGCAGGTATGCACCTCAGAACTATTTTTAAAGCATATGCATGAGGCAATAGACATTCTATTGGAACATGTCCCATTTATATTTTGACAAATCGTATCCATAGATAAAATGTTTTGTTATCTTATCGCATTTTTAAACCATAAAATTTTGATCAAGTACAATATTAAAGAAATTATTCAAAGAAATGAAATAATTTACCTCTTTCCAAAAAGGTAGCAGTTGATACTGAAAATGAAAATAGAAACGTTACAAGTATAATAATTTTCACAATTGTTGAACTTTACCTTACAATTGAACCAACATAGGTGTAATTGAACATAAACAATCACATGAAAATGGAGTAAATAAAAACGATAATATAAAACAATCACATTAATGGCAATCTTTCTTATCGAAATTATTATTAAATGTTGTCGATAACGAAACTACATTGGCCACATATAACTTTGAAATACATTTTTTTTCGAACAAAAATCAATGGACTAATGATACTTAGCTATGATTGAGTCCATGGTCTAAAATTATAATACCTAATTCTATTTTTAAAAAAAAAACTAAATTCTTGCTGAAATAAATAGCATTTACGCAAGCATTATTCATATTTTTGCTTTGCTTGCTAATAGTAAAATAAAAGAATGTTAAATAAATAAACATATACATTAAACTGAATATAAATAAGATGATCGTTAAGTTACATGCCGAATATCAATGAATAAAATAAATAAAAATAATCTCCAAAAATCACAAAAATCAAAAGACGTTTCATCATTTTATAACAAAAAGCAATATAAAGATTTTCTTGTATAAAATCTTAAAATGAAAATTGCATGAACTACACAAAAAGAAACAGAGCACTTACCTGCAAGAACCAGAGTAAAACAAAATGCAACTGTCTTCATTTTCTACCACAAAATATCTCGCAAAAATATATTTTATCTTAGAACGTTTGACCGGTTTTGGATAAAACTGGCCAAGAGTCTAAGCTATATATAGCAATCGTTGTACAGCAGCCGTCTATAATAAGTCGTTGTTATTTTCATGCCAATTAAATCCTTTATGCTGATTACAACAATTATCAATAATTACAGCAAATCTTATTTTAGAAGTAAGAGTTATTAAAGCAAATGAATAAATGTTAAGAACAATAAGTAGCATATTTATTTGGCATTTTCTTTGAAGTGTTCATATGTTGGTTGTAGAAAATTACTTATTATAAAATTGGAAAACAAGAGTCTGTATTAGACGCTTGTATACTATGATCACCAACAATGACAATGTGATTCAATGATTACAAGTATCAAAAGGAACAATTACATCGGCATTTATACGATGATTGACCGAAATAATTTCTTGAAAAAGCATGCATATATCAGGGAGCTGCGTTCAATAATTATCACAACAGCTACAAATAAACTGAACTTGTCACTTTAGAAAGCCAACGTCCTACCGTGAATCCATGATTTCATCGCATGCTGTTAATTTCACAAGGCCTTACTTAAGTCTGAATGTTTGTATACATTTTTCTTTCATTACAATCCAAAATATTGTTTTCTTTACTCAAGAATAAGTCATTTAGTACAATTTGTTATACGATAAAGTAAAATTCTGCCTTTGCAATGCTTTTTGCAAATGTATATTACAAATAAAAAACAGTTCGATGTTGCTTTACTTCAACGTATACAAATGTACTTGATACAATAACTTTTACAGTAGAATATGACAAGTGAACATGTCCATTCCTTCCAGACGCAACGACATTGCTTCACATGTGCTTAGTACTGGTTGGTTCCAGAAACAGGTTCATGAGTATTTCAATAAGCTTATAGCTTCCTACACAATTAAATTTAATTAAATAAATACATGTATAAACTATAGTTAGTATAAACTCTTGACGTAAGCTCAATTCATCAGTGAACACTTCTTTGTCTATTTCTGATGGGCACAATTGACAAAATCACCTGTCTACTCAATGCGCTCTCTGACGTGATGTTGTTGTAAATGGACATAAACTGCTCATGCCGACAGTATTAAAGTCGGCTACTGATAGATTATCGTGCTCCCATACTTTATACGAGGGTTGTCCCGAAAGTCTGTGACAAATTTTATAGACGGTTCATTTTTAACGCCAATAGATAATAATTAATAATTCACACATATAACCGTTAAGGGTTTTATTAACATTTCAACAAATCATTTACAAAATATTTACTTTAGTTACTTAGAAGTTTTCAATATTAACGACATTGGATTGAGTTGCCGGCGCACAACAAATTATTTGTATTTTGTTATGAATAGGTTAAAGTTAATTACGTATGTTTCAAATATCTGATGATGTGCCTGCACTATGTCGCGTTGACTTCCTCTGCTGCTATGTATACATCATCTCAGAAAATTTTAGTTAAATAACTTAAGAAACGAACAGGCTACGAAAATATCTCATAGAAAATAGGAAAGTTAAAAGGTCATATTTCAATATGGTGTTGTTCTGGAAAAGGTTATCGTGGAGCAAAACATCGACCTCTTCAACGTTAAAACAGTCTGCGACAACTAGCTGAATTTTAGTGATGCCATATCCCGCAAATACTTCAATCCGAAATACAGCTGCCCTTACTATGATAATGATATCTCGAAATTCGTCTTTTATTTTATATTTTGTCAATTATCTGACAAAAGCGAAAGATGAGCGTAAAAAATCAAGCAATCTTTCACAATTTGGTATGTACAAAATAACAAATGCATTGCAATCATCTGGTTTTCGTCCGTATGACATTATTCGTGTTTTGGTTAAGTTAAAATGCAAATGATACTTTCTCAAAACTCCATATATTTATTGACAACTTGCATTTTACATGAGATAGTTTGGTCTAGATATACCCTGAAAGTCCCTTAAAGATTGTGAGTAGTTTATGTACTGGTAATATTTATTATGTAAACGCATATATATTTTTTAAAGATTTTAAGATTATTAAGTGTTTGGAAATGCCGACTGCTATCGATTTGTTTATTAGTCTTTCTTCATTTCCATCTTTCCTGTTTTTACAATGTATTGATAAGCTTACAAAACCCATGTCCCATTTTCTAGGAAGATGATTTTTGTCAATTTTAGATAAATTTCATAAGGAATGTACAAAAACAGTTTATACTTTTTGCATTTTGTAACGGTATTATCGCTAGTGTGGTTTAATTCTGGGCAAATTATTCACTATTTGAACGTGGGTTTCATTTATTAAGTTATGAGACATATTTTTATAAATCATTCGGCAAATTAATAAAGTTCTTTTTATGCCTCATAAGAAGATATTAACTATATAAATCAAAATATGACTATTTTATTCATTTGATTATAGTGTACGGTCATGGATTTTTAGCAGTCGATAAATCTGGATTAAAATGTGGTTCCATTGGGCTTATGCTTGGAATTGTTGGATTAAAACGTATGTAAACACTTATTCTAATGCCTAATGATGCAAAAAATAGTGCTTCATCTAAAAAAAAGAGAAAAAAACGAAAACCAAAATCACCATTATTGAGAGATACATGTGGTTTATGTCATGGTCAGTCAAGCGATTTGAAAGCGCGGTGTATACACAATACATCGAGTGCGGACAAAAGACAGTGTAATCTAGATGATAGTTTATTTACTTTGAGTGAACTTGAAAACACAATACCCTCAACACCTCTATATAGTAATTTAAATATGTCCTCTACAAGCCCTAACCAGTTGTTGAACTTGGCACAGCAAGGACTTGCACAACAATTAATGTATGGTTCACCGACTGCTACACAACCCCCGGGAAAATGGGCCAATCGATCTGATAGAAGAGGTCAAAGCGTTAAAAATATCTTCTCAAACTGAATAGAACATTTAACAGAGGTAAAAAATTTTGGGGGTATAAATTCAATTCAAAGAAGCGATTTTTTTAAAGATAATATCAAAAAAATTTTTTTTTAAATTTTTTTGCTTCCAACTGAAAAATTGGCCCGTCTTGGGGGGCACTTTTTTTTTGAATTAAAAATCATTTTGGGGGGAAGGGGGTTATTGAAAGCAAAATTATTTTTCTTTTGGGCTCTAGACTTTGATTACCTTTTGTGAAAAAAGTTTTTAAACCAATTTTGGGGGCGAACCGCAATTTTTCCCATTTTGGAAAAAGCTTTAAAAAAAATTTTAAAACCCCTTATGAATTTTCAAATCAATTTAAAAAGGGCCCTAAAAGTTGATTCTTAAAAGGAAATAAACATACAAAATTATTTTCCTTGAAAATAGAAATATTAAAAATTTTTAAAAAAATTTTGGAATTTTTAATACGTAAGCACTCTTTTGATGTGTTTGGAAAACGAAAACGAACAAATAAAACAAAACCAAATTGGTAATAAACAACAATGGTTTAATCACTTTTTAATGTTTTAAAGTAAAAATAAAAGTAAAACTATAACTCTAGAAATTAAAAATAAAGCAAAAAATGCATATAAAGCAAAAAATGCATATAAAAAGCAAAAAAAATAGAGTTACAAAGAATGGCCAAAGAAAAAACCTAGGCAAATTCTGGCAAAAAAATATTAAACGGCAATACAAGAAAAAACCTACTGAGTCCGAAAATCTAAAATATAGATGATTTGTTTGATCATTTCCAAAATTTATACGGTGAAGTACCGGAAATACACCAGGTAAATGTTGAAATTGATCAAATATATGACGATTATTTGGATGGAGAAATAAGCTATGATGAAATAAAGTTTGCTGTTTTATCACAAAATAATAATAAAAGTTAGTGGAATAGATGAAATTTGCGCTGAAAATTTATAAATGTTCATACAATAAGAATTGCATTAGTATTACACTCACTTTTTTAACAGACTGTTTAATAAAGGGGAGTACCCAGAAATATGGGCAAGGGAATTATTGTTACCAATTTTTTTAAGGAGGGAACATAGATGATCAAACAAATATAGGGGTATATGTCTTAATAAATATACTAGGTAAAATATATTCGCAAGTATTATTAAATAGAGTCACAAAATGGTCGCAATTAAATGAAAAATTAAATGATCATCAATTTGGCTTCCAAAAGGGTAGAACAACTACGGATTGTATCTTTTTATTACACTCAGTCATCGCAAAATCATTCAGTTTTGTGGCAAAAAACTTTACACAAAAATGTTTCGACAAAATAGATAGAACGTTTTCTATGGCATAAACTTATTTCTGAAAATGTCAGTTCAAAATTGTTTAAAGCTATGCAATCTATGTATAGTGTAGTTAAACAATGTATTCGATATAAAAACCAATACTCAGACTTCTTCGAATCTCATATTGGGGTCAAACAAGGAGACCAAGTTCTAGTCTAATGTTTTTATACTTTATAAATGATATCGTCGAAAATTTAAACACAGACATTGAAGGAATATTTACTCTAGACGAGCTAAAACTGTTCATTTTACTATTTGCCGATGATTCGGTACTTTTTGCAAACACTCAAAATGCACTTCAAAGATTTACTTAACAAACTAGAAGCTTATTGTGATACTTGGGGCCTAAAAATAAACACCGACAAAAACAAAAATAATGATTTTCGAAAGGGCCGTCATACACAACAAAATTTTATTTTATGTGAACAACAATTAGAGGTTGTAAAATCCTTCAAATACTTAGGAACACACCTATTTAAAAATGGTTCTTGGTACAGAACGCAAAGCAGGATAGCACAGTACGCATCATATGCTTTACACAACTTGTTCATTATTTTCAACCAAATAGAATTAACCAATAAAGATAAATGTAATCTGTTCGATAGCCTAGTTGGATCAGTCCTAAGTTATAATGCAGCAATATGGGGAAATCACGAATCAAAAGCTATTGAGTTGATACATTGTAAATTTTTACGTAAGGTGCTTGGTGTAAAAAAATCTACAAATCTAGAAGGGCTATATGGTGAGGTTGGAAGAGTACCTATGAAAATATATAGAAAACTATTGATGATTAAATACTGGAT